GATGGTGATGATGATGTTGATGTTTTACTTCGGTGATCGATAGTGAGATCGATAGTGAGGTCGAATGTAAGATCGATAGTGAGGTCGATAGTGATATCGATTGTGAGATCGAACGTGAGACCGAATGTCAGACCGATTGTGAGATCGATTGTGAGATCGATAGTTGTATCGATAGTGAGATCGACTGTGAGACCGAATGGGAGATCAAATGTGAGATCGATTGTGATCGGAGGTGAGGGGGTGAGATCGAAGTGGAACGGAGAGCCCCCCTATCGGGAAATCGATTTCGGTTTCGTGTTCGTGCGTGCCGTGCGTGCGGGCGAGGCTGCGTGGGCGGGCGAGCTGTGGCTGAGGCGCGGCCGGACCAAATGTTTCCCTTCCGGGCGGCCGGGGCCCCGCGGTGTCCCGCCGGTGTCCCGCTGGTGTCTCCTGTGGCTGAGGCGCGGCCGGACCAAACGTCTCCCTTCCGGGCGGCCGGGGCCCCGCGGTGTCCCGCCGGTGTCCTGTCGGTGCCCCGTCGGTGTCCCGATGATGATGATGATGATGAGGAGGAGGATGATGATGATGACGTTGATGGTGATGATGGTGATGATGATGTTGATGTTTTCCTTCGATGATCGATAGTGAGATCGATAGTGAGGTCGAATGTGAGATCGATAGTGAGGTCAATAGTGATATCGATTGAGAGATCGAACGTGAGACAAAATGTCAGACCGATTGTGAGATCGATTGTGAGATCGATAATGGTATCGATAGTGAGATCGATTGTGAGACCAGATGGGTGATCAAATGTGAGATCGATTGTGATATCGATAATGAGATCGATAGCGAGACCGAATGCGAGATCGATTGTGGGATCCATTGTGAGATCTATAGACAGATCGATTGTGAGATCGATTGATTGAGACTGATAATGAGATCGATCGTGAGTTCGATAGTGCGATCGATGGTGAGACCTTGTGAGATCGGTTGTGATATCGATAGTGAGCTCGATAGTGAGACCGAATGTAAGACCGATAATGAGATCGAAAGTGACTTCGATCGTAGGATCGATAGTGAGGCCAAATGCGAGATCGATTGCGAGATCGATTGTGACATCCATAGTGAGATCGATAGTGAGACCGAATGTGAGATCGATAATGAGATCGATTGTGAGTTTGATAGCGGGATCGATAGTGAGACCGAATGTGAGATCGACTGTGAGATCGATTGTGAGATCGATTGTGGGATCAGTAGCGAGACCGATTGTGATATCGATGGTGCGATCGATTGTGAGATCGATTGTGCGATCGATAATCAGATCGATCGTGAGATCGATCGATTGAGATCGATTGTGAGATCGGTAGTGAGTTTGAGATAGTGAGATCGATCGAGTGCGACGTTGGCCCCTCCCCCCTCCTCACCTCCTTATCACCCGAAGGGTGGTCGTATAGGTATCGATAGTGAGATCGATAGCGAGACCGAATGCGAGATCGATTGCGGGATCTATTGTGTGATCGATAGTCAGATCGATTGTGAGATCGATTGATTGAGATTGATAATGAGATCGATGGTGGGACCTTGCGAGATCGGTTGTGATATCGATAGTGAGCTCGATAGTGAGACCGAATGTAAGACCGATAATGATATCGAAAGTGACTTCGATCGTAAGATCGATAGTGAGGCCGAATGCGAGATCGATTGCGAGATCGATTGTGACATCTATAGTGAGATCGATAGTGAGACCGAATGTGAGATCGATAATGAGATCGATTGTGAGTTTGATAGCGGGATCGATAGTCGGATCGAACGTGAGATCAACTGTGAGATCGATTGTGATGCAATAGCGAGGCCGATTGTGAGATCGATGATGAGATCGATTGCGAGATCGATTGTGCGATCGATAATCAGATCGGTCGTGAGATCGATCGATTGAGATCGATTGTGAGATCGGTAGTGAGTTCGATAGTGAGATCGATCGAGTGCGACGTTGGCCCCTCCCCCCCCTCCCCCCCTCACCTCCTTATCACCCGAAGGGTGGTCGTATAGGTATCGTTATTCTAAACAACAGTAGTAATCGTCGTAGTAGTAGTAGTAGTAGTAGTAGCAGTAGTAGTAGTAGTAGTAGTAGTAGTAGTAGTAGTAGTAGTAGTAGTCGCAGTAGTAGTCGAAGTAATAGAAGTAGTCGTCGTCGTCGTCGTAGTCGTCGTAAAAGTAGTAGTAATAGTAGTAGTAGTAGTAGTAGTAGTAGTAGTAGTAGTAGTAGTAGTAGTAGTAGTAGTAGTAGTAGTAGTAGTAGTAGTAGTAGTAGGAGTAGTAGTAGTAGTAGTAGTAGTCGTAGTAGTAGTAGTAGTAGGCGTACTAGTATTGGTAGTAGTAGTAGTAGTCGCCGTAGTAAAAGTGGAATGGTGATACGGATTGTAATGATAGTCGTCGCCGTAGTAGTAGCAGTAGTCGTAGTAGTAGTAGTAGTAGTAGTAGTAGTAGTAGTAGTAGTAGTAGTAGTAGTAGTAGTAGTAGTAGTAGTAGTAGTAGAGGTAGTGGTAGTAGTAGTAGGAGTGGCAGTAGTAGTGGTAGTAGTAGTAGTAGTAGTAGTAGCAGTAGTAGTAGTGGTAGTAGTACTAGCAGTAGTAGTAGTAGTAGTAGTAGTAGTAGCAGAAGTAGTAGCAATAGTCGTAGTAGTGGTAGTAGTAGTAGTAGTAGTAGTAATAATACTTGCAGTAGTACGAATAATAGTGGTAATAGTCGTAGTGATAATGGTATACGTAGTAGTAGCAGTAGATCTAGTAGTAGTACTAGCAGTGGTTTTCGTAGTAGGAGCAGTACTCATAGTAGTAGTAGTAGTAGTAGTAGTAGTAGTAGTAGTAGTAGTAGCAGTAGTAGTAGTAGTAGTAGTAGTCGTCGTAGTAGTAGTAGTAATAGTATTAGTAGTCGTCGTCGTAGTAGTAATAGTAGTAGTAGCAGTAGTCGTAGCAGATTTCGCAGTAATATCAGTAGGCGTAGTAGTAATACTAGTAGTATTGATAGTAGTAAAAGTAAGAGTAGTGGTCGTAATAGTAGTAGTAGTAGTAGTAGTAGTAGTAGTAGTAGTACTACTAGTAGTAGGAAAAAAGAAGTAGCAGTAGTAATATCATGCGTATTAACCGTAGTAGTAGTAGTAGTAGTAGTAGTAGTAGTAGTAGTAGTAGTAGTAGTAGTCGACGTATTAATAGTAGTAATAGTAACGCTATAATAGAAGTAGTCGTCGTCGTAGTCGTAGAAATAGCAATGGTAGAACTAGTAGCAGTAGTAGCATTATTAGGAGTAGTAGCAGTAGTAGTAGTAGTAGTAGTAGTAGTAGTAGTAGTTGTTGTTGTTGTTGTTGTAGTAGTTGTTCCCAACCCTCCTTGGTTGGGTATTCGTTTTGAATAGAGCAGTGTGGTCGCGTCCTTCCTCCTCCCGCCTCCCGCCTCTTTCCTGCCTCTTTCTGTCTTGCCTGCGGGGGGCTGTGAAACTGTCGCCAGTTTCGAAGCCTGCTGGGGGGTCCAGCATAGAGGGTAATCGCGGCAGATCCAAATTAGACCTCGCCATTCCTGGGGGGCTGCGATCTGTGAAACTGTCGCCACTTTCGAGGCCTGCTGGGGGGCTCAGCATAGAGGGTAATCGCGGCAGATTCAAATTAGACCTCGCCATCCCTGGGGGGGGGGGCTGCGATCTGTGAAACTGTCGCCACTTTCGAGGCCTGCTGGGGGGTCCAGCATAGAGGGTAATCGCGGCAGATCCAAATTAGACCTCGCCCTCCCTGGGGGGCTGCGATCTGTGAAACTGTCGCCACTTTCGAGGCCTGCTGGGGGGCCCAGCACAGTGAGGGCCACGCGCGGATTCAAATTAGACCTCGCCATCCCTGGGGGGCTGCGATCTGCGAAACTGCCGCCATTTTCGAGGCCTGCTGGGGGGCCCAGCACAGTGAGGGCCACGGGCAGATTCAAATGAGACCTCGCCGTCCCTGCGGGGCTGCGATCTGTGAACCTGTCGCCACTTTCGAGGCCTGCTGTGATCCCCGTTTTCGAAGTGGCTAGGAGTGCTCAGGAATTGTAAATCATCAGCTTTATCAAGCCCTTTTCCTGTAGCCAGTGTCCTGCGAGTCTCCCGAATTCCGTCTGCAGACATATGTAACCCTCGCTCCGTCATCGCCCCCTTATAAAGTATCCTAAACTATTTGCGCCCCGCGCTTTTGCGCAGGGGTTGGGTACGTCGCCAGGGTAATTGTAGTAGTTGTCGTAGTAGCAGCAGTAGTAGTAGTAGTAGTAGTAGTAGTAGTAAGTATAAGTAGTAGTAGTAGTAGTAGTAGTAGTAGTAGTAGTAGTAGTAGTAGAGGTAGTAGTAGAAATAATAATAATGCTAATACTAATAGTAGTGGTACTAGTACTACTAATGTAATAGTAGTAGTGGTGATCGTAGTAGTAGTAGTAGTAGTAGTAGTAGTAGTAGTAGTAGTATAGTAGTAGTAGTAGCAGTAGTAGTAGTAGTAGTAGTAGTAGTAGTAGTAGTAGTAGTAGTAGTAGTAGTAGTAGTATCAGATATAGTACTACTACTGCTACTACTACTACTACTACTACTACTACTACTACTACTACTGCTACTACTACTACTGCTACTACTACTACTACTACTACTACTACTACTGGTCGCAGTAATAATAGTAATAGCAGCAGTAATAGTAATAGTGGTAGTAGCAGTAGTAGTAGTAGTAGTAGTAGTAGTAGTAGTAGTAGTAGTAGTAGTAGTAGTAGTAGTAGTAGAAGTAGTAGCCACCGTAGTAAAAGTCGTAAAAGTAATAATAAAGGTAGTGCCCGTAATCGTAGTGGTTGTAATAAACGTAGCAGTCGTAGTAGCAGTAATGGTAGTAGTTGTAGTAGTGGGAGTGAGGAGAGAGGAGTGAGAAGTGAAGCGTGACGAGGAGTGGGGAGGAGGAGGGAGGAGGGAGAAATGAGGAGTGCGGAGGAGGTGTGAAACACAGGCAGGAACGAACGGAGGGCCGCCTCTGCACCACACGCTCGATCTCGGCCCAGTGCAGCGGGTCTGGGCGGCCGTGGACCTCGGACGCCGACGCTGGGGGCCAATAACGACGACGACGACGACGACGACGACGACAACGTCGTCTTCTGTCATCGTGTTGATCATCATGGTCGTGGTCTTGGTCGTGGTCGTCGTGGTTGTCGTGGTCGTCGTCGTCGTCGTCATCGCCGTCGTCGTGTCGTCGTCGTCGCCGTCGTCGTCGTCGTTGTCGTCGTCGTGGTCGTCGCCGTGGTCGTGATCGTCGTCGTGGTCGTCGTCGTCGTCGTCGTCGCCGTCCTCGTCATCGTCCCCGTCGTCGTAGTCCTCGTCGTCCTTTTCGTCGTGGAGGTGGTCGTCGTCGTCGCCGCCGTCGCCGCCATCGGAGGAGGGGGGAGGAGGATGCGGAGGTGAGGCGGAGAAGAAGGAGGAGGACCAGTGCAAACCCAAGGCGAATCAACGATGATGCACTAAACCCTCCATCCAAGTTCCATGTGCGCAAGTCCCTACAACAACTTATTTCCACTGCAGAACATGGCCCATTGAAAGACAACCGCACGAATAACCCAAAAAAGAATGGATTCCACCCCCCCAGACTCCAAAAAGGGGAGATGCGTCGCCAGGACAAGAAACAGGCAATCAAATACAACTTTTACATGGTACATGTGATAGGACCAGGCAACCCCAAATTTCCTTTTCGGGGGAGAATCGTGGATCGTGTCAAAAAACAAATCCTGGGACTTCGCCGCGAATCAACGTGCCTGTTGCAGCCTGACTATCCGAACTCGCGCCAAAACACAATTCCTGGAACTTCAACCCTAGGAATCCTTGCGAACTTTTCAAATGAAGGTGCGCGGCGCTACGGCGAAAACCCCATTTTGATTTGAAAAGGAACCAGCCTCCATCTAAAAAGTGCGCAGCAATTTCAAAGATGGTATGTTTGAAACTGCTGCACACGTGTGAAACGAATGCGCGCGGCGTTGAGACGACAATTCCATTTTGGAAACGGCCCGCCATCCATCCGCGAAACTCTTGTAAATTCCAGGCTTCCGGATCACACATGGCAAACAAGTCTGAAGCAAAACACCCGGCCCGGCCGACGGACACGTCTGGGGGTCCGACAGGGAGGATGCAGTCTACAAGGGAAGGGAAGGAGGAGCAGGAGGCGGGGGTCGAAGGGGAGAATGAGGATATGCAAGATGAGGGGGAGAAGGAGGAGGAGGAGGAGGAGGACGAGGAGGAGGAGGACGAGGAGGAGAAAAAACAAGGGAGGAGACCTTCTCTGGGAGCCTCAGAAGCAACTGCTCGTTCAACGGCGACGGAGACGCTCCAGCGCGGCAGCACGCCCCCCCCCCAAAAAACAAAAACTCAAGACAAGCAAAAACTCGATCGTCCATCCTCGAGGACTGCAAGAGAAGAGGAGGAAGAGGAGGAGGAGGAGGAAGAGGAGGACGAGGACAAGGAGAAAGAGCAGGAGCAGAAGGAGAAAGAGCTACGACCAGTCATAATCGGAGGAGTTGTGTTCATTACTCGTCCTCCCTTGCAAATAAAGGGACGAAGTTCACACGCGCGCGTAGTCGCGCGCGCACGCCGCAATCCTTCGAACAAACCGTACGTTTTGTAAGGATTGAAAAATCGAATGTCCCGAACACGCATATAGAACAAATCTGGTTCCGCAACAAGAACTTGCGAAACAAGCCAGCGCTCGCGCTTTTGCAGATTATTCAGAAAACCTTGCGTTGTTTCTTCTTTGAATTAACAATCATCAACTGCCACGAAAAGTGCCCTCTCGCGCGCGCATGTCGAAATCGCTCGAACGCCTGTGCGCGCGTGCTGTCGCAAGTATCCCCTGCCAAAAAACGGGACGACGTGCACGCGCGGGTGTCATCGCGCGCGCATGCGGAAATCCTTCAACAAACGCTAGGTTTTGCAAGAATGTCAAAATCGAGTGACCCGAAAAACATGTTAACACACGGTTTTGAAACATCCATGTTCAAACATGCGTGCGCTCGCGCTCCTGCGAATCCTGACGAAAACGCTCTTGCGCGCGTGCTGGGGCGCACGATCCGTTTCGAATAACACCACGCGGGTTACTCTCGCGCGTCGGTCGCGCGCGCATGTCGAGCTCCTTCCAAAACTTTCATCACCGACGCGAAGACGCCGTTATCGTCGTTGGCGTGATCAGCATCGGCGCCGTCACTGGCCTTGCCGTCGTCGATGTCATCGTCGTCACCAACATCGCTATTTCCATCACCGTGTCTACCGTTGACGACATTGCCATGATACCGCGCCCGCCCGAGTCGCCGATTCGCATTGCAATGCCCACTGGGAAGTGCCCAGCGGTCAGCGCCACCGCGGCCGCGTCGGTCGCGCCAAGCTAGCCGGCCGCTTCGCGCGCGAGCATGCGCGGGCTAGCGCGACCGCAGAGATGCACCAGCCAACGCCGAACACTCATCGCAATCGCCGCCGCATGGGTTAGTTGCGCGTGGGCGGGTGAAATGGTTGCGCGAGCAGTGGAGTTGGCAACTCACTGCGAACAAAAATTGATTCTCCTGTTCTACAGCCATATTATGATCTACCCCCCCCCCACCCCCCACCCCACCCCCACTCCCGGACGTTAAAGCCCCCCTTTTTTCGGATCGCATGTCGTATATGATCACGCGCGCTCGCCCTTCCAAAATATGAACAGACCACCCCAGCTATGCTGACATCGTCACCCCCGCCCCCCTTTTCACCCTGTGTATAAAAGACACTATGCGCGCACACTCGTTCATCACAAACTATTTACTCATTTTTAAGAACCGCTTGCGAAGAATAGGACGAAGTGCACGCGCACGAATCGTCGCGCACGCATGCCGAACTCCATCGAAAACCTGGAGTTTCGTTCGGGTGTCAGATCGAGTGCCCCGCCAGCACATTATGTACTACATCTATATATTATTATTATTAATAATAATATTATTATTGTTGTTATTATTATTATTACTAGTATTATTATTATTAGTATTATTATTATATAAAAGCATGGTTTCGCAACATAGAGTTTCGCAACAAAAACTTGCGCTCGCGCCCTTGCAGATTCTGAAGAAAAACCATATGTTCCCAGAATGCTCATCGCATGCCACCGAACATGCCTCTCGCGCGCACGTCGAAATCGCTCGAACACCCTCTTGCGCGTGATGTCGCAAGAATCCCTTGCAACAGAAACAAGGCGAAGCGCGCGCGGGGTCGTCGCGCGCGCGATCGGACATCCTTCAACAGCCGTAGGTGCCGCGGGGATTTCAAAATCGAGTTCCCCAGACAAAGCGAATGATAACACATGGTTTTGCAATTTCTGTTTTCAAAGACGCCTGCGCGCGCGCTCCTGCGAACTCCGAATAAATCCATCGGTGTCCCGGCATTTTCGGACGCTGTCGAACGCGCCTCTCGCGCGAGCGCATGTCGACATCGCTCGAGCGCCCTGGCGCGCGTGCCGGGGGGTGCGCTCTGCGTTGAACAATACCGCGCGGGCCGCTCTCGCGCGTCGGCCGCGCGCGCGCGTCGAAGCGGCTCTGAACTGCAAGCGCGGCACTGGGATAAAGCGCCAGGCTGCAGCACCAGGTCACCAGGTGAAAGCACCAAGTGAAAACACCAGGCCAAGGCACTGGGCTAAAGCGCCAGGCTAAGGCACCAGGCTATGGCACAAGGCTGAAGCGCCAGGCTAGCAGCACCAGGCTAACAGCGCCAGGCTCAAACCATGGTGATGTCGCCTGGTGCCGCTCCTCTGGCGTCGATAGCCTGGCGCTTCAGCCCAGCGCCGCTCGTCTGGCCCGTAGTCTCCTTCGACTGGTGCCTCGGCCTGGCGACGTTAGCTGCTGCCTGACCTGGCGCCTTGACCCGGTGCCTCAGCCAAGTTCATTAGCCTGGAACGTCATCGCCTGGTGCCCTAGCACGGTGCCTTAGCCTGGCGCCTTAGCCTGGTGCCTCAGCCTCGCGCGCGCGGCCTGGAGACGCCAATCTGGCGCCGTTAGCCTGGCGCCGCTTATCTTTTTCACTCGGCCCAGCGCCTTTAGCCCAGTGCCTCAGCACGGTGCCTTTCGCCGTGCGCCATGAGCCCGGTGCTGCTAAACTGGTGCCGTCGGTCTGGTTCTGGCGCCTTTAGCCTGGCGCCCTGGCCTGGCGCCCTTAGCCTGGTGCCGTTTGCCCTGGTGCCACCAACCTGGTGCGTTATGGCGCCCAAGCGTGGTGCCTTTGCCTGGTGCCTCAGCTCGGTGCCTTGCCGTGGTGCCGCGGCCTGCCTGGCGCCTTAGCCTGGTGCCTTAGCCTGGTGCTTTAGTCTGGTGCCTCTCGCCTGGCGCGGTTGGCCTGGCGCGGTTAGCCTGGCGCGGTTGGCCTGGCGCGCTTAGCCTGGTGCGGTTAGCCTGGTGTCGCTAGCCTGGCGCCTTAGCCTAGCGCCTTAGCCTGATGCCTTAGCCTTGCGTCTTAGATTGGTGCGGTTTACCCGTTGCGTTTAGCCTGGCGCGGTTAGCCTGGCGCGGTTCGCCTGGCGCGGTTCGTCTGGCGCGGAAGCCCGGTGCCCTAGCCTGGCGCATCGGCCTGGCGCTTCAGCCTGGTGCCTTAGCCTGGTGTCTTAGCCTTGCGCCTTAGCCTGGCGCCTTTGCATGGCGCCGTAGCCAAGCACCTCAGCCAGGCGCGGTTAGCCTGGGGATGTAAATCTGGTGCCGTTGGTCTGGCGCTGATACTCCGGCGCATTCAGCCTGGTGCATTTAGCCTGGCGCCGTAGCACGGGGCCGGGCCGTGCGCCGTTGGCCTGGTTCTGTTATCTGGTGCCGTTGGTCTGGTTCCGTTAGTCTGGTACCTCTAGCCTTCTGCCCTGGCCTGGTGTCCCTAGGATGGTGCCTTTTCCCCTGATGCCTCTAGCCTGGTGCCCTGGCCTGGTGCCTTAGCGTGGTGCCTTGGCCTGGTGCGGTGTGCGCTTAGCCTGGTGCTTTAGCCTGGTGCCTCAGCCTGGTGCGGTTAGCCTGGTGCGGTTAGCCTGGTGCCTTCGCCTGGTGCTGTAGCCGTGGGGTGAACCTGGCGTCGTTAGTTTGGTGCTGTTAGTCTGGTGGTACGAGGAGCCAGGAGGAGGCAGCAGGCGCACTGGTGATCCGCGCAGATCACCAGTGCGCAGTGCGCCCAGGCAGAGAGGATTTAGGAAGAGGTGGAAGGAGGTGGGAGTAGGAGGAGACAAGAGGCAATAGGAGGAGGCAGGAACAGGCAGGAGGAGGCAGTTGCAGACACGATGCCCAGGCAAGTTGCGTTGACCAGGGACGTGTAGCAACATGTAGCGCAACAAAGAGGGGGACAACCGTTACATTAGAAAGGAGAGAAGGACGCAGGAGGAAACGGAGGATGAACATGAGCGGGGAGGGAGGAGAAAAAGGAGGAGGAGGAGGAGGGAACGGAGGAGTGGGGAGAAGGAGGAGGACGAGGAGCAGGAAGAGGAAGGATGGGAGAGGTAGAGGGAGACGACGACGACGACGACGACGACGACGACGACGCCGACGCCGACGCCGACGCCGACGCCGACGCCGACGCCGACGCCGCCGACGACGACAACGACGACGACGACAGGAATGGATCATCGAGGCCTTTGCAGGTCTTTCGCTCTGGGTGCGTGTTGAAGCCCCTTGGTGTCATCTTGGGGCCATCGTGGGGTCCTCTTGGGGCCATGTTGGAAGCCTCTTGGGTACGACGACGACGACGCGAGAGGAGGAGGGGAAAGGGAGGGGGGAGGAGACGAGGAGGGGCCCTCCTGGGGGTCTCTTGGGCCCCTCTTGAAGGCCTTGGGGCCCTCTGAGGAGGGGGTCCCTAATAGAGCTCCCCTCTTGAGCCCCCAAGCTCGCCTCTTGGGGCCCTCTTGGGACGCTCTTGGGGCGTTCTTGGGCGCTCTTGGGGCCGTCTTGAGCCCCTCTTGGGATCCTCTTAGGCCAGCTTGAAGCCCCCTTGAGGCCTCAAGAGCCCATCGGAAGTAAAAAGGCGAGAAGGCAAAAAACATTCAAGAACATACGGGTTTTGAAGGATTTTGGTCTCTTGGAGGCCTCCTTGGGGAACTCGAAGGGCACTCGGGGCCATCCCGTGGGAGTCTTGAGGGCTCTTGGAGGCATGTTGGAAGCTATCTTGAAATATCTTGGGATATCTTGCGCGATCTTGGAGGCCTTCTTGGGCACCCTGCGGCCCTCTTGGAGCCATCTTGGGCCATACGATGCGCTCCAACGACCCGCGGTCAGCCCCCGTCCAGACCCAGGGGGAGGGGGGAGGGGGAGGGGACCCACCCTCCCCGAAAGGAAATACATGGGTTGGAAGAACTAATTCGTTAAACGCCGCCTGAGAAGACTGCCCCGGATTCTCGGGTGAATTCTGGCCAGATTTGTCCTAAACAGCCCCGGAAACCGCTCCGAAAACCACGTGGATTCTCCGGGCGCCCTCAGGATGTTTCCGCGTGTTTTTTCGGCACGCGCGCCCCAGGAAAAGATTACAGTCTTCGTGGAAATGTTCGGGCCGAGCTGTGTTTTTCTCTTCGAAGTTTTCACTCGGCCGCGCGGGAGGCCTGGAGGGAGGGAGGGGGGGGAGGGTTGGAGGGGAGAGGGGGGCGCACGCCACAGAAGAGGGACGGACGGAGACAGGAATCCTACCAGCCATTTATGGCGTGAGTGGTTTAACAAATTAGTTCCAACCCCCGTCTTCCCTTTCGGGGACGGGTTTCCCAATTTCCCTCCCCCCCTCCCCCTTCCCCATGGGTCTAGACGAGAGGGGCCGCCGGTCGTTGGAGCGCACAATACGGCCCAAGATGGCTCCAAGAGGACCGCAGGGTGCCCAAGAAGGCCTCCAAGATCGCTCAAGATATTCCAATATGGCTCAATATAATTTCCAACATGCCTCCAGGAGCCCTCAAGACCGTCCCAGGACGGCCCCAAGTGCCCTTCGAGCTCTTTCTTCTAGGGAGCCTTCAAGAGGCCACACTTGTTTAAAACCATTGTGTGCTTCAATGTTTGTGCCTTCTCGCCTTTTCGCTTCCGATTGGCTCTTGACGCCTCAAGAGGGCTCCAAGCTGGCATAAGAGGGCCCCAAGAGGGGCCTAATAGGGACCCAAGACGGCCCCAATAGCGCTCAAGAGCGCCCCAAGAGCGTCCCAAGAGGCGACTTTGGAGGCTGTTAGGGCCCCCCCCCTTCCTTGACCGACGGCTTCAACGATGGCCTCAAGAGGGCTCCCCCAGGGCTCCAAGAGGGGCCCAAGAGACCCCCAAGAGGGGTCCAAGAGGGCCCCAAGAGAGCGCCAAGGAACCCAAGAAGCCTCCAAAATAGCCCAAAGAGGGCCTCACGATGGCCCCAAGATGACCCCAAGGGGCATCCAACACGCACCCAGAGCGAAAGACCTGCAAAGGCCTCGATGATTCATTCCTGCCGTCGTCGTGTCCTTATTCCTCTCCCATCCTTCCCCTTCCAGCTCCACGTCCTCCTCCTCCTCCGCCCCCCCTCCCCCGTTTCCTCCTCTCCCTCCTTTTCCTCCTTCTTCCCCGCTCATGTCTATCGTCCGTTTCATCCTGCGTCCTCCTCTCCGTTCTAACGTAACGGCTGTCCCCCTCTTTGTTGCGCTACATGCTGCTACACTTCCCTGATCAACGCAACTTGCCTGGGCATCGTGTCTGCAACTGCCTCCTCCTGCCTGTTCCTGCCTCCCCCTGTTTCCTCTTATCTCCTCCTACTCCTCCCACCTCCTTCCGCCTCTTCCTAAATCCTTGTTTGCCAGGCCACACGGCGCACCGGTGATCTGCGCGGATCACCAGTGCGCCTGCTGCCTCCTCCTGGCTGTTTTGGGCCCCATAGGGCTTGTCCAGGGGCCCCTAGGGCCTGCTTGTCACCCTTTGTGAGCGCGCACGTGCTCTCCTGGAGCCCTCTTGAAGCTTTCCTGGCGCCCTCTTGGAGCCCCCGGCGGGCCCTGACCGAAGAGAAGGACGGGGGGAGGAAAACGAGAAGAAGGATAATGAAGGCAAGAAAAGAAGGATGAATATGATGAAGGATGAGCAGGGAACGGAGAAGAGTCGAACTTTGTCGTCCAAACGGTATTCACGCAGGCGGTCAAACAACATTATCGATGGACGTGCACATATGAGACAAAATCCAGCACTAATATGGAACAAATTAAAAGAAGAGGAAAATCCACGCTGAATTCACTCCCACAAGTAGCAACATCAAGACATTGCCCTCCATCGTTCGCGCGGCAAGAAATGCGACAAGGCGGGTCGTAAAATGTCAGTAAGGGTCCAGCGATAACCCAGTTTTGAAAAGGGACCGCCTTCCATCCGTGCAGTGGTTGCACACATGGAAAATCCCCGGTAATCATCAACATCTGAAGCGAGAAGCCTTTTTTTGAAACGGGACCGTCCTCAATCCGTGCAACGGTTCCACAAATTCACAACTTCTGGTTAACCCAGCGAACTCTGAAGCGAGAGCCCCACTTTGAACAAGAGCCGCCCTCCATCCGTGGAACTGTGGCACTAACTGTGCGGTGATGACTTTTGACGAAGTCTTTGGCGAGGGCCCCGTTTTGAAAAGGGGCCGACCTCCATCCGTGAAGCCGTTGGGAATGTTCAATGCGAGTGTGCCCGGCAACGCGGCGAGAGCTCCAATTTGAAAACAGCCCGCCCACCATCCGTGTACCTGCTTCAACTGTTCCAGACGAGCGCGGAGCTCAAACGAGAGTTCATTTTAGAAGTCACTCACCACCACTCCGCGCAACGTTCAGAAATGCAGTCGACGAGTGCGCGCGGCGCCGAGGCGAGAGCCTCATTTGGAAAACGATTCGACCTCCATCCGTGTAACTGCTGGAGATGCCAAGCTTCAATATCACAAGCTGTGAAGACATCTCAGGCGAAATGCCTGGCCCAGTCTCACAGCATGTCTGGTAGTGTGACAGGGGCGAGCTACTTATATGAGGGAGATAGATGGTGGAGGAGGAGGAGGAGGTGGAGGAGGAGAAGGAGGAGGGAAAGGAGGAGGAGGAGGAGGAGGGAAAGGAGGAGGAGGAGGAGGAGGAGGGAAAGGAGGAGGAGGAAGAGGAGGAGGGAGGGAGGGAGAGAGGGGAGGAAGGAGGGAGGGAGGGAGAAGGAGGAGGAAGAAGAGGAGGGAGGGAGGAGGAGGAAGAGGAGGGAGGGAGGAGGGAGGGAGCCGTAACCCTCCATCAGTGGGACGTAAAGGTGGGCTAGGCCCAGAGGTGGGGTTGGAAGAAAATCAATATGGGCACCTCCCGGAGGAGGGAAATGCCAGCTTCTGGCTGTACTCGCTCCATAAGCCCACCTTGGGCTAATCCCCCCCTCTCTATGTGAGGCGTTCCGAACCCCCGAATCCAAAAAAAGTTGACATCTCATATTTTCCTTCCGCCGGCTTCCGCCGATGGAGGCGCCCTCGTTTTGTAGGGGATCTTCTGACCCGGGTCAATCCAGACCCAGATTAGCAGGAAACCAAAAACTGCAATGCAGGAAAAAAAAAAAAACTGCAACGTAGGTCTTCGCAAACCCGGGTCAGCCAATCTGCGCGGCCGCCTCGCGGCCACGAGCGGCTCGCTAACCTGGGTCAGCCAGAGGGGGTCTTCGCAGGATCCTGAAGGATCTGGTGCCCTGGCTGACCTGGCTGACCCCCGTCTGCATTGACCCCCGTCTCAAGGCTCCCGATTTTGCTTCCACCGGCCTCCGCCGGCCTTCCGCCGCCTCCCGCCGAGGAACAGAAGGCCGCATCCCGATCCCTCAAGGGCGAGGCCTTTTCCAGAGCGCCTCAACGTACCCTTGGCCCTGACCGTCTGGGCCGCACGACCTGGACGGGCATCGGGGCGGTCGACCGCGCGCTCTCGGAGGCGCCGCTGGGGTGGGCCGTTCATTTTGCCGGGCTGTCGCCGCCGTCGTCGGTGCCTCTACATCAATCCCATCAGCAGCTGCAACACCGCCATCGCCATCACCATCCCCACCACCATCATTAACAAGTGCATTCTCCTCCCCACTCCATCATCCTCGTCATCAGCAGCAGCAGCACCACCATCATCTATCATCACCACCATGTACCATCGTCATACCACCATCATCACCATCATCGCCACCAACACATCTTTCTGAGTTTCATCAGCATGATAAAACATATCAGGGGACGTATGCAACCCTTTCAAGCATGGATCGCTCGATGCAAAAGTCATCACTGAATGATCCGCAATGCCCTTGAACGCTTCGCCAAAGAACGCCGCACCAGACTCAGACAGACGTTTCACATATGCAGCGTCACTCTTAAGAGTCGGGTCGTTGGCAGGAGAGCGAGCACGAGGGGGCGTGGAAACATGTGGAGGAGGGACGATTGGACGCTGGCCCTCCCGGAAGCCCACGAAAAAGGCGACGGTTTCGCAGATCGCCCCCCAGGGGACGGCGAGGTCTCGTGGTGATCCGCGTATGACGTACCTTCGCTGGGCCTCCCAGACGCCCGCGACAATGGCGACAGTTTCGCAGATCGCAGCCCCCCCAGAGGACGGCGAAATCTGGTGGTGATCCGCGTAGGACGTCACCCCGCTGGGCCTCCCAGAAGTCCACGGAAATGGCGACAATCTCGCAGATCACAGCCCCCCAGGGGGGCGGCGAGGTCTCTTGGTGATCTGCGTATGACGTGCCTCCGCTGGCCCTCCCGGAAGCCCACGAAAAAGGCGACAGGTTCGCAGATCACAGCCCCCCAACGGACGGTGAGGTCGCGTGGTGATCTGCGTAGGACGTACCTCCGCTGGGCCTTCCAGACACCCACGAAAGTGGCGACAGTTTTGCAGATCGCAGCATCCCCAGAGGACGGCGAGGTGTCGTGGTTATCTGCGTATGACGTACCTCCGCTGGGCCTCTCAGAAGCCCGGAGTTGTGGGCATGGAGCTTCTTGGATGTTGTGCGGAGCCTTTCTGAAGGACTCTCGGAGACAGGTTTGAAGCCTCTTGGGGTCTGTTTTGGTGCCTTCTCTGGGCCTCCTGAGGGCTGCTCATGGCCCTCTCAGGACTTCTTGAAACCTCTTGGAAATTCTTGGCATGCTCTTGTGACCCTCTTGGGGCGGAAGGCTCAGATTTCTCGCTCCCTTTTCTCCATCTCGCGGGCCTCTTGTGGGGCCTCTCGAGAACGTTCTGGCGACGAAACACTTCCCGACGCGAACTAAATTTTGGTACGTGCGCGGTCTCGGCTGCCTCTGACTCCCCCCACCTTCCGCTCCCGAAAAATATCATGAGGGCGACACAAGTGGACGTTCAGCTGTAATTGTCCGCCAGGGCGCCTGCTGGACAATGTGGCGGCAGTTTCGCAGATCGCAGCCCCCCCAGGGGACAGCGAGGTCTCGTGGTGATCCGCGCAGGACGTACCCCCGCTGGGCATCCCAGAAGTCCACGGAAATGGCAACCATTTCGCAGATCGCAGCCCCCCAAGGGACGACGAGGTCTCGTGAAGATCCGCGTGCGACGTGCCTCCGCTGGGCCTCCCAGAAGCCAGCCAACGTGGCGACAGTTTCGCAGATCGCAGCCCCTCAATGGGACGGCGAGGTCTCGTGGCGACCCGCGTATATGACGTATCTCCGCCAGGCCTCCCAGAAGCCAACGAAAGCGACCGTTTCGCAGATCGCAGCCCCGCAAGGGGGCGGCGAGGTCCCGCGGTGGTCCGCGTATGACGTACCTCCGCCAGGCCTCCCAGACGCCCACAAAAGTGGCGACAATTTCACAGATCGCAGCCCCCGAGGGAACGGCGAGGTCCCGTGGTGATCCGCGTATGCATGAATACGCTGGGCCTCCCAAAAGCCCACGAAAAAGGCGACAATTTCGCAGATCGCAGCCCCCCCAGGGGCGGCGAGTTCTCGTGGTGATCCGCGTATGCCGTACCCCAGCTGGCCCCCCCAGAAGCCTACGACATTGGCGACAGTTTCGCAGACCGCACCCCCCCAGAGGACGGCGAGTTTTTGGGTAATCTTTGTATGACGTACCTCCGCTGGGCCTCCCAGAAACCAGTGACAGTTTTGACAATGTCGCAGATCGCAGCCCCCCAGGGGACGGCGAAGTCCCGTAGTGACCAGCTCATGGCGCACATCCGCTGGGCCTCCCAGAAGCCCACGAAAATTGCGACAGTTTCGCAGATCGCAGCCCCCCAAAGGACGGCGAGGTCTCGTGGTCATCCGCGTATGACGTACCTCCGCTGGCCCCGCGCGAAAGTGGCGACAATTTCGCAGATCGCAGCCCCCCAAGGGGGCGACGAGGTCTCGTGGTCATCCGCGTATGACGTACCTCAGCTAGGCCTCCCAGACACCCACGAAAGTGGCGATAGTTTCGCAAATCGCCCCCCCCCCCCCCCTCCCCCCAGGGGACGGCGAGGTCTCGTGGTGATCCGCGGATAACGTACCTCCGCTGGGCCTCCCAGACGCCCACAAAAGTGGCGACAGTTTCGCAGATCGCAGGCCCCCAGGGGACGGCGAGGTCTTGTGGTGACCAGCGTATGACGTACCCCCGCCGGGCCTCCCAAAAGCCCACGAAAGTGGCGACAGTTTCGCAGATCGCAGCCTCCCCCCAGGGGACGGCGAGGTCTCGTGGTGATCCGCGTATGACGTACCTCCGCTGCGTCCCCCAGAAGCCCACGAAAGTGGCGACAGTTTCGCAGATCGCTGCCCCCCCCCAGGGGACGGCGAGATCACGAGGCAGGGAGCAGGACTAAGAGAACGAGGAAGAGGAGGAGGAGGAGAATGGAGGAGGAGGTGGAGGAGGAGGAGGAGGAGGAAGAGGAGGAGGATGATAAGGAGGAGGAAAAGGTGAAGGTGGGGTCCGATAGTGCTCTATTCAAAACGAATACCCAATACAGGAGGTTTGGGGAAAATGGTATCACCACCACCACCACCACCATCATCATCATCATCATCATCATCATCATCATCATCATCATCATCATCATCATCATCATCATCAGCATCATCATCATCAGCATCATCATCATCATCATCATCATCATCATCATCATCATCATCATCATCATCATCATCATCATCATCGGCATCATCATCATCATCAGCATCATCATCATCATCACCATCAACATCATCATCATCAACGACAACATCAGCAACATCATCAGCATCCACATAATCATTATCAGCATCATCCTCCTCCTCATCACCATCATCATCATATGCATCAACACCATCATCATCAACAACAGCGACATCAGTATCAACATCAACATCACCATCGTCATCACCAGCATCACCATCATCATCAGCATCGTCGTGATGAGCATCATCATCACCACCACCACCGTAATCCTCAGCAGCGGCATAATCATCAACCTTATCACCAGCAGCAACATCATCATCATCATCAGCAGCAGCATCATCATCACCATCACCATCACTATCACCATCAATATCACCATCATCGTCATCATCATCAGCATCATCATCATCGTCATCATCATCAGCATCAGCAGCCTCATCATTCAGATGCTTAGCATCATCATCATCATCATCATCATCATCATCATCATCATCATCATCACCATCATCATCATCATCATCATCATCATCATCATCATCATCATCATCATCATCATCATCATCATCATCATCATCATCATCATCATCATCATCATCATCATCATCATCATCATCATCATCATCATCATCATCATCATCAGCGTCACCATCGTCGTCGCCGCCGTCGGATGTGTCATCATCGTCGTCATCATATTCGGCACCGTCATCGATTCCCTATGATAATCCTCGCTCATCCTCCTCCTCCTCCTCCTCCTCCTCCTCCTCCTCCTGCTCACGTCCTCCGTCCTCCGTCCTCCGTCCTCCGTCCTCCGTCCTCCGTCCTCCGTCCTCCGCCCTCCTCCTCCTCCTCCTCCTCCTCCACCTCCTCCTCCTCCTCCACCTCTTCCTCCTCCTCCTCCTCCTCCTCCTCCTCCTCCTCCTTCCCCTCCTCCTCCTCCTCCTCCTCCTCCCCCTCCCCCTCCGTCCTCCTTCTCCTCCTCCTCCTCCTCCTCCTCCTCCTCCTCCTCCCCCTCCCCCTCCTCCTCCTCCTCCTCCTCCCTCCTCCTCCTCCCTCCTCCTCCTCCTCCTCCTCCTCCTCCTCCTCCTCCTCCTCCTCTCCTCCTCCTCCTCCTCCTCCCTCCTCCTCCCCTCCTCCTCCTCCTCCTCCTCCTCCTCCTCCTCCTCCTCCTTCCTCCTCCTCCTCCTCCTCCCTCCTTGCGTCATCCGTCCTCCTCCTCCTCCTCCTCTTCCTCCTCGTCCTCCTCCTCCTCCTCATCCTCCTCCTCCTCCTCTACCTTCCCCTCCTCCTCTACCTTTCCCTCCTCCTGCTTCACACGCCACTTTTCCAATCCCAGCGACTGAAGCGGACCCCCACGAAGTTCTGCCCTGCTCCTGCCCTCCCCCCCGAGGTGGTGAGAGCGGAGGGCGCGCGCGCACGCGCGCGCGTGCCTGTGCAGAGCGCGCGGGGTGCCCTCCGCCTCTTCCTCAGAGCGGGAGCGGAGACGGGACGCATGCTGCAGCGCACGCCCCGCTGCCCGCTGATGCCGTCGTCGTCGTCGTCGTCGTCGTCGTCGTCGTCGTCGTCGTCGTCGTCGTCGTCGTCGTCGTCGTCGTCGTCTCCTCCCTCTTCCATCGAACCTGGCTTTCGGGTCATAACTGTGCTCTCTGGCGGCCGTTCCAGCCTGTCCGGGCACCCCCGGAGCGCTCTAGCAAGAGGCGCTGCTGCTGGAGGGCACCCCGAGGCTGGAATGCCGCCGCGAACCGACGCAGACGCCTGAAAACCTCGAGACTTGACAATGTCGTCCACCCTGCGCCTGCATCGTGTCGTCGTCCCGCCCCCCTCGTGATAGCGTGGCCGCCTACCGCTGGTCAAAGAGGAAGAGGAGTGCTCGCCCCCGCCGACGCGATGCCCGCGCCAGGAGACTGACACAAAGGGAGAGGGGTCTCGAGCGAAACGGCCCCGGGACCCGTCGGGGCCCAAGGCACGTGCGCGGCCCATGGGGGAGGAGGAGGAGGAGGAGGAGGAGGAGGAGGAGGAGGAGGAGGGGGTCAGGGGACGCACAGAACGAAAAACTCTTCTTGTCGGCAGCGCTGGCGGACGCGAGCGCGGCTGCAGAGCCGGCGGGCCGCGCCGGGCACTGTGCCCAGCGGAGCCGGTGGAGAAGCCGAGGGCGGCCGCGGAGGGGGCCTCCTCCTCCTCCTCCTCCTCCTCCTCCTCCTCCTCCTCCTCCTCCTCCTCCTCCTCCTCCTCCTCCTAGGGGGGAGGGAGGCCCAGCGGAAGAGAATCAAATCAACGGGTGACGGGCGCGTGCAGGCGGCCCAAGGTTCCGGAGACCGGTGTGCTGGTGGGTGCCGTGCGGGACACTGAAAGAAGAACGGGGGGGGCCGTGAACTCCGCGGAGGTGTCATGGCCCCAGGCATGAGGTTCCCCCCCCCTCGGTCATCCCCTCCCTCTTGGCCGCCCATCGCGGGCTATCTTTTTGAAGGGCTCCTGGGCAGGCAGGAAGGGCCCCGAGGGGCCGAGGGCGTCGAAAAGCCTAAGGGCTCTGGGACTGCTGCCAGATGGCCGACTCCAAGCTGTCATAAGCCCTTCTTCTGGATCTTGGCTAATATCTTGCTGCGGTACGCTTCGAATGACTCTAGCCGCTTGACTGTGCCATTGGCCACATTCCAGATTTCCTTAGCCACCTGAGACACGAAGAACTGGTCGTGGCTCACCAAGACGACACCCCCGTCGAACGCCTTCACGGACTCGGCCAGGGCCTCGATCGATGCGAGGTCCAAGTTATTGGTCGGCTCGTCCATCACCAAGATGTGGGGGCGCTCGTAGCTTACAGCCGCCATGGCGACCCGCGACCGCTGCCCTCCGCTGAGATTGCCTGCCCGGACAGTCTGCTGTGCGGTCTCCACGCCGCAAGAATCCAGGTGACTGCGGAGCGCCAGCTCGTGCGCAGCGGAGCCGTCTCCAGGAAACTTATGCAGCATGAACTCCAAGGGGCTCATGGACATCGGAGGAAGGCCAGTCGAAACGACGGCGGCACTCAATGGCGTTTTTCGTCTCTTGTGGGCCTCAGGCTGGATCCGCGTCGACAAACGGGGCAGGATGGACCCAGGGAGGGATCTGGGGATCGGGTTGAACAGGATTTGGGCTGGACGAAAGCGCCGCCGTTGTCTCAACTGGCCCTCCTCCGAGGATAGGTCGAGCTGGTCCGCATGATGCTGGTTGACCAATGATATTCTGGCGCCGCGGTTGATCTTGACAGATCCGGACGTGGGCGAAAGCTCGCCCAGCATCAGCTTCACAAGCGTCGACTTCCCGTTGCCGTTCTCGCCGACGAAGACGATCCGAGACTTCCCGTCCACGTGGAACTCGGCACCCCGGAACAGCTCCTGGCAGCCGGGGTAGCCGAAAGCGACGTTCTGGAAGGTCACCGCCGGGCCGTCTAGCACGCCGCCTGCCAGCAGCTTGACCGGGAGCTCTCCGTCCTCGAGCAGGTCCGCCAGCTCCTCGGCCTCCTGTGCCTGCTTCTCCTCGTTCTTCTCCTGCGGGGGCTGCAAGCGACAGCACCCTGGGAAATGGCTTATGCATGCTGACAATCGTCAGAGCACCGAAACCAGCTCAGTACTGGTTGTGGCCGATGTGGGCGACCCAGACGGCCAAATCGACCACAACCACAACCAAAGTATTCATTTCGTCGTCGGCGGGATCTCCCCCGAGGGGCCCTCCAGGACAATTCCCTTAAATAGTTGTGGTTGTGGGTCTTTGTTGTGCCCATGTCTCCAGCATCCTCTCCATCTTCTTCATCATGTTGATCTGGGCGGAGCTGCCCCCGTACTTGAAGCCGTGTCCTGCGTAGTCCTTGAGCTTCGCATTCTCGGCGGCGTCCTTTTCCATCTGGCTCTCTCGCGCCTTCTGCTGCTCCTGGCGGCGCTTGGCCCACGTAGAGTAGCTACCTTTTGATTGCGTCAGCCTCCTGGCAACGCCACTGATGTGCATCATGTCGGTGCAGGACTCGTCGACGAACACGCGGTCGTGGGACACCACGACAACGATTCGCGACTGCCACGTGGGGCTGGTCGCCAGCTCGTGGCTCAGCCACATGACGGCCTGTATGCTGAGGTGGTTGGTGGGCTCGTCCAGAAGCAGCACGTCCGGCTTGGCGAACAGCGCCGCGGCCAGCGCCACGCGCACGCGCCAACCGCCGCTCAGCGCGCCCAGGTTGCGGCCCCGCAGCTCCTCGCTGAAGCCGAGGTTGGCGAGCAGCTCCTCGGCCCGCTCCCCGGCGGTGTCGGCGCCGATCGCCTCCAGCTGGTCCATGCACGTCTGCAGGCGCTCCACCTCGGCCGCGCCCGCCTTGCCCTCCAGCGCGGCCACCTCGGCCAGCAGCACGCGGCGCTCCACGTCGGCCTCCACCACCGCCTGCACCGGAGTCTGCTCCAGGGCCGCGGCGGACAAGGAC